TGGAAGCAGCAGACGGGTGGCAGAAACAGTCCTGATAAATATTTTAGCTGGTGTGCAACAATTTCCTCCTGGAAAAAAAAACAAAACAGGCAAAAACCAGAGGAAATATGCTATGCAGACATTGATCCAACATGTGAGGACCTGAGATTTGTGATAACCCTGTGACTTTGCCCCAGTGATTTGCTGTGTTTCTGTTGCCCAGAGTTCAGGCTTCATCAAAGTGCTTGTGTTACAGAGCTACTTGTGGCCCACATTTTGCCAGGCGTGTAAATAGAATTATTTTCCTTTATCTGGTCTCCTGCCTCAGAGAAAAAGGAAAACCGTATCAAATGTTTAGTTGCAGAGGGCCAATGTGTAAAGGTCGCATACTGATAACTGAGATTAATATGTGATGTGTTTTAGGTGTCTTTCCTGTCTGCTTTTATACTAAAATTAACTGCTGGCAAGAAAATAACACTCTGCATGCCCAACTGCTGTTGCTTTGCATTTGGGTTTGTGCCATGAGAGGTAATGGGAATGGGAGAGGGATCCTTTATTCTTATGCTGTTGCTGGTGCACACTCTCCCAGCTCATCACTTTGCTCCCCAGTTCATGGCCATAGCACACATGCCCCTGTCCCTGACAGCAGTGTGCAGCAGTGGGAGCCAGGGCAAGCTCTATCTCCAGTGCCCCCCCCCCCCCAACCCGTTTTGGAGGTGCCCTGTCCACTGTACTGCATGGGAGGGGTGCCCCTTTCCCTAGCTGGAGCAGCACCTCAGCCTCTCCCCACCATACTCAGAGTGTCCTCCTGGGTTTGTTTTCTCGGCTTATTTTCAGCCCTGAGGTTTCCTTCCAGAATAGCTTCAGGACATGGAAATAGGACTGTGCAGCCCCGACCACAGCCTCTGCCCCGCGGTGGACCTAGGCAGGCGGGAGCGCGCTGCTCCGCTCGTTTACCGCCCTGCAAAAATAATAATTAAGCTTGGACAAAGGAGCCATGTCAGCCTGTGCCAGACAGGGATGCTCCGACCACGAGGTCTCCACGGTCTTAGTCGGTTACATGAAAACTGTATGCAGCACCCCTTGCCTGGTGGTGCTGGCTGCAAGCCCACCCGGCTGCACCCCAGAGCTGCCGCAAACCCCACCGACGTTGGGTCCTGGACTGACAGCAGGGCTTGGGCACAGCAGCAGCTGCCTGGTGGGTTCGTCGTCGCCCGCTGTGCCAGGGCAGCGGGGCTACCTGCCTGACCCCCGGCTCACTCGCCAAAGCACGTGGTGAGCAACACGGCAGCGTACTTGTGCGCGTCAAAAAAGCAGTGGGAGTGCAGAAGGGGAACCGTGGCGCTTGCACGCGTCAGCCGCATGCTGCACGCCTGCCTCGTTGTCTCGCTGTGCTCCCAAAAAATGGGATTTTGCTGCTGTCACCTGTTGGCATGTTCCCCGGAGGCAGGGGAGCTGTTCCATGCTTTGTTTCCAGCTGTTCACCTACAAAGGCAGGATTATTTTCATCGAGCGGTCAGATCCTGCAGTCGCTGTTAGTAACAGATACCAAGCGCTGCTTTGTGGCGAACGGGTTACCTGTCCAAGCCCTGCTGCCTCGGAGAGACGGAGTTCTTGCAAAAGCAGTAAGAGACCGATGCTCCAACCCTGAGATGTGATGCTTTAAAATCTTTATTTATTGTTATTATTATTTTAAATGGAAATGTGTGGGATGCAGCTTCCCTGCTGGTGTCCCTGCATGTTGCTGCTGTTGGTGGCCTGCCCAGGCAGCACCTGCTCCCTAGCCTGGGAGCTAAACATAGGTGCTGGCCATGCAAAGCACTTTGGCACACGTTAATTATCCTGGTGCTTTTTAGGGATCTTGGGTGAAATATGCGTTTTTATAGTCACTTTTCTCTTTTTTAAGCAGCCTGGAGCAGCAGCCCTTTAATTAGATTAACAATCACCTCCCACCAGCACTCTCTGTTCCCCGGCCCTGATGAAATTTAAGCTCAAAGCTGCGGACGTGCCGGCTGCTCTCCTGCGCAGGGCAGCCCATGACGCCGTGGGGCAGTGGGAAACAGGGCCATCTCTGTCCTGTGCCCCCCTGCATCACCCCCCAGCAGGGCAGCCCCTCCAGCCACCCCAGCCTCATGGGGCTGGATCCCTCACGATGCTGGTGTCTCTCTTTACCGGAGGCTGCTGCACTGGCATTGGAAAACTGCATGGCTGCTTTTCTTCCCCCCCCCCCCTTTTTTTTTTTTTTGTTTTGTGTGGGTTTTCCTGGCACAAAGCACCAACTCCAGGCCTCCCTTGTAATTATGGCTCTTCGCAGTGACACAAGGGGCTTTGAGGCCCACGGGCCAGGCGCAGCTGCACCTCGCAGCCCCAGGGTTTGCATGGTGGGCATGTGGCCTGGGCTCGCTGCCAGGGCTGTGGACCCGTGGGGGGCTGCAAGGCACCTCTCCCCCCCCAGCAGCATGCATTGTGCATGGCCTTTCACCAGCAGTTAGCAGCTCCCCACCGTGTTGATGTGGTGATGAGCAGGAAGGCAAAGTAACAACAAAATAAAAAGCTTTGTCTTTCTGGTCCGAACCTGGGAATTTGGTTAACTGGAAATCCCTTGCTTCCCAATCAAAATCAGACACAAACTGGGCTCCCCTGGATGTGGGTGAGGCTTTTTGCCCCCAATTTTGAGCAGAAACACGAGCGTTCAGGTCTTGCACTGCAAAGCAGATATTTCTGCCCTAAATCACCATCGTTCCGTCGCTGGCTAACCTGCGCATCACCGACCTGCTCAAAGGCATGATTTTCCAGCCCTGCCATTCCCCCTCTGTGGGTTGTGGGGCTGAAAGGCATCAGGCAGGATTTGCAATTCTCCTTGTCACTGCGGAAAGCAAAGCTGCATTCGGCAGGGAACGGTGCCCTGAGCTGCTGCAGCCTGGGCGTATGCAGGAGGGTCAAGGGGACTTTGCTGGGAGATGCAGGGAAAATCGGGAAAAGAGGGAGCAGAAATGCACTGTGTGGCTGAAATTCCACTGGGAAATTATAAATATAGGGAAAGGAGAAAGGATGTCCCTGCATAGGTGGGTACAGGGGGCAGCTGCAGCACCTGCATGCCCTTATCCCCTGCCGTCAGGTGCAGAGCAGGAGGGGTGGGCTCTGACCACTGCCCGAATCCTGCCACCAAGGTCCTTGCTGAGTTTTGGGTGGCTGTGAGGGTGGGGGTTTTTTTTGTCCTGGGCACTTATTCCCCTTTGCTGGAGGTGTGTGCAGAGCTGCTGGATTTCAGCTGGGAAATACCTGATTTTGTATAGCAGAGGGCCAGGCGGGCGCCTGTGTGGGTCTGTGTGGTTCTGGGGGCACAAGACAGGAATCAGACGTGCATTTTGTACCATCGCTATGTCAGAAATGGCTCTCAAAGGGAGGCTGGTGACACCTGTATCCAAGTCACCTTTTCTTTCCCTGCTCGTTTCCCAAGGCCCGTTTCACCTCTGCAGGCAGCCTGGACAGGGATTTGTTTGGATTTAGCCTTTTTTTGTCTAATGGCTATGCCCAAGTGACTGTGGAGCCAGGCCTTTGAGGTTGGCCTTTTTTGTCTCCTTGAAAAAACAGTGACAGATTTCCCAAAAAGGGAGGTAGGCACCCCCTGAGAACAGATTTCCCAATATTTATTTTAATTTAAACCCAAAGTGTTATTATACCCTCCAGCCTCCCGGCTGTTCCCCTGAGGCCAGACCCTCAATTAAGCGGCGCAGTGCAAACCTCCCCGGGTTTGGCAGCGGCGCGGGGCGCTATGTTTGTGCACCAAATCTGCCGGCGTTGAAGTTTGGGGGTTTTCTGGCACATGCCGGCGGGCTGGCGTCACTCCGGGCAGGGCGGCGACTGGCTTGGGGGGGGGCAAAAATAGACTTTATATCCCGGTGGGGCAGCAGCAGGAGGAAATCTGTGCCGGCCGACTCTACGGTAGCTGTCGGTGCTGTGACGGGGTAAGCTTGCTGCTGCTTTTTCCAGCCTGGTTGTGCATTGCTGTCTGCTTTCTCCAAGGGGATGGCAGGGCTCGGCTTGCTGGATGCTGCTTTTAGCCCTTTTCTGGGTCTGTGGCTTCGTGAAGCATTCGGGTGGAGGGGACGAGCATCCCAGCCTCACTGCGTGGCCACAAAAGCTAGCTCGTGGCCAGTTGTTTTCTAGGCTGAGTTAAACGAAGGTGGGGAAACTTCCAGTGCAGATAAATATAATAACAACTCCCCCCAGCACAGCTGATGGTGGGTTTCGCTGGAGGAAGGGTAGGAATAAGGAAGGTTAGTGGGCCTGACTGAGCCCAGTGGGATGCCGGGACCATCCCGACCTGGGAGAAGCTGGGGTGCTCTGGCAAGGGTTGGGTGTACTCCTTGCTGGGGTCAGGATGGAGGAGGGCACGTCGGGTTTTGGTGCTTAGAGGGTGCAGCTCGGACCTGCGCAGAGCCAAGCCTCCCCCCTGGATATGCCTACGGGGAGCTCCTTGCATTGATGCCTTGCCACTGCTATTTTTGTCAATGGAAGGCTGTAAAAGCCAATTATATTCATTGATTTGTTTGCTTATTTATTTTTCCTCCATGAGGTTAAGCTCTTCGTGGTGTAATTCCTGGGTGAGTTGCTCCCTGGTCTGTAAGCAGCGCTCCTGACGGCTGCTTCTGTCACACCTCCAGTGGGGGTTGGTTTTCCCGACTCCCTCGCAGGCGGTGGGGAAGCAGGAGCGAGCAGTCCTGCTCAGGGAAAGCAGCGCATCTGCTACCGGGTGAAGCTCGCTCTTCTAGTACTTGGTGGCTTCTTGCAAAATCAAAATGTATTCATGGAAATTGAGGCAGATCTGCCCAAAAAAAGAAGGATTTGGGTTTTGGCAGGGTTGGGTGACCCCACAGAGAGGTGGCTGGAGGTCAGCCTCACTTCTCCCCACTCACCCATGTGGTCACAAACACCTGCATGGTTTGGGGGAGGCAACGGTGCTTTCCAGCTGAAAAGCAGGTTCTCGCCATGTTTTGCCACTCCTAGAGAAAGCAGCCATGAGGACTGCCCTGCTCTTCATCTGCCTGCTGGGGATGGCATGCGCCTTCTCGGTGAGTGCCGGGCAGTGGGCCCCCCCCCCCTTACTGGGGTTGATGTGGGGCACACGACATCCCAGCCTTTCCCCCAGGTCAAGAGCTGGCTGCGGCGAACCAAGTCGGACGACTCGGAAGAAAATGCGGTAGGGTCTCCCCCCACCCCACATGCCCAGCCCCACACAGCACTGGCCTTGAGGATGAGGACGTTTCGGTCACGCCTGTGTACCCAAGCCCCCAGCCTGATGGGATTTACCCCCTTCTTCTCCCGGTAGGTGTTCAAGAACAGGCACCGGTATTACCTGTACAGATACGCCTATGTGCATCCCCCGCAGCGACGGTACCAGGTGGGTGCTTCGGGGGGGTTGCTGTTGCTGTGCCACTCACCAAATGCAGACATATTGGCCCAAATGAAATGGGGGCATGGTCTGCGCCCCATCTGCCGCTGGCCTGAGCAGGGCTGGGCTGAGACCGTCATGCTCGTGACACCCATGGAGACCAGCCCAGCTACAGCTTGGTTTTCCCTCTTCTTAGGGCAGTGACTCATCGGAGGAAGAGGGGGAAGGCTCGGAGGAGGAGGAAGGGGGGGTGAGTATGGCAAACCAGCAGCCTGCAAAACAAATACGGGAATTTGGGACCTTTCTTTGGTTTTGTAGTCTGTGCTCATCAGCGTTTGTGGCCACTGACCACCCACAGCCTTGCACACTGGATGTGACTGGATTTTCTACTCTTGGCTTTATTTTATTATTTTTTGTCTATTTTCCTCCTTTTTATTCTTTTTTTTTTTTTTTTAAAGAGGATGGGCGGGGGATGCATCAAAAAAGCCTGAAACAAACTTTACGGGTTTCCATTTTCAGTGGCTCAGAAAGGAGCAGGATGGACCAAGGGGCAGAAGCAGGGAGGCTCGCTCTCAAGGCAAAAGGGCCTGCCTAGGGGCTTCTCTTACCTTCCCCTTCCAGGACGCATTGCCCCCAGAGTGCTGATAATATTGCCATGGAAAATACAGTAATGGTCTGCATGCACACGTGTGGGGGGACTCAAACCGATGCTATTTTGGGAAATGGACATTTGTACCAGCCTGACCGGTAATGCTGCTCCTGTCTGCTGGGTTGATATGAGCTCGGGCACCACTGCCTTTGTGGGAGTCACCCAGGTCCAAAATTAAACTCCCAGGGATCACAAAGGTCTCTTGTGCCCCTCTAGGCTGCAAACACTCAGAAATAATCCAGTGGTCTCAGTCACACAGGTGCTTTGAGACAGGGATCCAGCATGCTTAGAAACCAGTGTGCCAGGTCTAATCTCTTTTATTTTTAATTTAATTATTTGAATACTAATATCAGGGGTCTTTTTAACAGGAGTGTAAGCCTGGGCATCTGGTCTTAAAACCTCCTTTGGAGGCTTGTCTGGGGCTGGGGCAGCCCCAACACCCCCCTGCAATTTGTACCTTTCTGCCTGTTGCCCTCCCCTACCACTGCAATCAATAGGGATAACTTTGAGTAGTGGGATGAGATGACCAAAAGGGGAATTTCATTCAAGGAAGAAATGAAGTGATGTGGAGGAATGCAGCTGCTGTTTGGGGCTGGCTCTTTCATTTTGAGGGCACGAGAGCAGTGGCTGTTCCCGGGAAGGGATGCTGCATGCCCTCACTGGCAGGGGGCGGTCAGCAGGATAAATTGTGATGGAAAGCCCCAAGGTGAGTTGTAGGTATGTAAAGACTACCCACTGGCACAGCCAGCTGCACCATGCAATTTGGTGGCTCCTCCAGTGGAGATGAAAATAGCCTGGGTTTTCTCTGGCAACCGTATTTTATGTGTCTGAGTTCGCCCAGAACACCAGGGTGAGCATCGTTGGTCTTGGCATGGAAAAAGAAGGGATGGCTCGTGGCAGGGATGTCAGTGACTCACCACAGCTGGGCTCATTTGCCAGTGGCAGGGTGCCTCTCCTCCCAGGCTGGGGGCAGGGGGAGCAGCCCCACCAGTTCCTCAGGGGTTGCTCTGGGCTCTGCTCACGTTTTGGTTAGTCGTTGCCCTTAGCTGAGGGGACCGCTGTGCGCCGTGCTGAGACCTGCCCTGCTGGGGGGTCTCTGGGGCTGACCAGTGCTGGTGGGGTTTGGGCTCATGCCTGGCTTTGAGCTGCTGCCAGCCACGGACAACTGGTATGTCTGCGTGCAGTACACCTGTGGCTTGCTTTGTGTATTGGAAACTGGGGGAGGTAACTCCAAAGGCAAACCTTTATGTGCTTTGTAAAGCAAAATGTGTACCCAGAACTGGAACACCCGACTCCAGCCACCACCACTTAATTGCATGGCTCAGGCTGCCCTGCAGCAGCTTCCCATTTTCAGTCTTTCCCACGGGGAGAGACACATGGGAAAGCGGGAAACTCGGAACAGTGCCCAAAGACCATGCAGCGATACAGCATATCCCCTTCACTGTGGGGAGGGCTGTGCTCTGCTCCTGCTGCTGAGCACCTGCACTCTCCCTGTCTCTGCAGGAGCCATCCCATGCTGGCATCGAGGCAGCTGGCCACACTGCTGGAGCAGCCCCCGGTGACAGCCAGGGCGGGCTGGGAGGAGACGTCGCATCCCCCCAGCAGGTGTGGTTTAGGGGGCTGGAGGGGAGCACCCATGGGGTGGGTTATATTCGCTGCCTGCTTGCTGGCTTGCTGGTTTGCTCCACAGAATGCCCTGCACCCCATTTCTGCTTGGGGGGTCTGCTACGCAAGATGCCCACAGCTGGGCTAAGCTTTGGGCATTATCCCGGTGGGAGGGTCACAAGGGGCACCCCAAAAAGGCAGCCTTGCCATGCAAGGTGCAGGGGGATGCCCATACCTGCCCATGCCATGCAGCACCAGAAAGCTCCGACCTCCTGACTAACGCTGCATTATCTTCCCCCTGCCAGGGCAAGGGCTGCCAGGGGCCCCTGAAGGGAGACAGGTACAGTGCTGTTGGCAAGGGCGGCGACTCTGAAAATGAAGACAGCGACGAGAATGAGGAGGAGGAGAAGGAGGAAGAAGAAGAGGTAGCTGAGAACGAGAATGGTGTCAATGGCACAAGCACCAACACTACCGAGGGGGCAGACGGACCTCACGGCAATGGCACCGCGGTGGCTGAGGAAGGTACTGGAGCTGCTGAGGAGGAGGAGGAAGAGGAGGAGGAAGAGGAAGAAGAAGAAGAAGAAGAGGAAGAGGAGGAAACCGAGGCCACCACCATTGCCAGCACCACCGGTGAAGAGGGGCTGTCCCAGGCAACTACCACAGGAGACGTGGGACCCACGGATGCCACCACAGCTGCGGAGCAGTGGGAGTATGAGGTGACTGTCGGGGGCCATGGCCGGGGGGACGAGGGCACCACTGATGGCAGCTATGGGGAACAGGATGAGTACGCCCGTGGGGACAGCTACCGGACCTATGAGGACGAGTACGGCTACTATAAAGGGCACGGCTACGATGTGTACGGCCAGGATTACTACTACAGCCAGTGAGCGGGTGGGGGGGGCAGCCTCAGTGCTACCCCCTGCCCCATCCCACTCAGGAATGTGTATCCAAAGGCTCGCTGCAGCCTCCGCATGCCAGAGGGGAGGCCAGGCAGCTCGCGGTGTGCACCGGCTCCGTCCCAGGCTTCTTTTTGTATCTCGCAAGGCGAAATGAAATAAAGCAACCGAACTGAGCTCATTGGTGATGGAGGGTTCACTGCCAAATTTGCTGGGAGCTTGGTGGGCTGAAGGGCTACAGGTGCTCATGGTGCTTCATTCCAACTTCATTCCAACCTCTTCAGTCCAACTCAGGTGCACACTAAAGGAGAGAGAAACAGAAAGGCTAACTAGGAGAGCCTCTGCGGAGTCCCCTCTGAAAAATGGAAGGGCATTTTTAGGGTCACTGCTGTTAAGATTACTGCCACATCTTACATAGAGTTGAGGTGGATTTTCAATATGTGGGCGATGATAACCTCACCACGTCTTCCACTCCTTGGTAGCATGCCTCCCATGGCCTGACCACACACCAGGGAATAGTAATAATAGACAGTAATTTCTCTTTCTGTGTATCATTAGCTGTAGATGCACACCCCTGTAATGAGAGCTTTGCTCCTGTGTCCCTGTGCCAGTCATGCGGGTCCCACCAAGCCAGTCACCTTAGCTGTGTTTTGGCACTGCTGCTGCAGCCCAAAATGGTCCACATCTCTCCCTGCCACACAGCCTTGTCCCCGGGGCAAGGCAGGGCTCTCACCGTGACAGCAGTGTGTCCACTTGCCTCCTGTGTCAGGGATGTGGATGCCAGGATCACCTCCCCACCAGGGATGAGGAAGGACCAAATCCCGCTGGGTTCCAGGCAGGTGTCCCTATTTAGGAAAAGTGATGGCCCATACGCACCGGTTACAGCAGGTACCACACACTCCTGAAAAGGAAACCTGTGTTCAGCTCCCAGTATAGGTTCAGCTGCAAAACAAGTTTCTATTCTCACAGCAGCAAGCTAGTGGCCGCTGTACAAAACTGCCTCCATGTGCCAAAGCCAGGCTGTGGCTGCCAGGGTGGCAGGGGGTGCTGCCTGCAGTGTGGGCACCCCCGGGGCCAAATCCTATGACGGCACTGGGAAGTCCTGTACATGCTGGCAGCCAGTGGGTGGGACACGAGAACCCTATCATTCAAGTCCTTGGGGGGTGGCCAAAGACGTCAGGGAACCAGCATGGACAAAGGACTCCGGCACTGCCGGGGGGCTGGGTCCTGCCCCCATGGGGCACCCAGCACGTCAGCCCTCCAGGGAACCAGCCAAAGCTCTGGCTCCCTGAGCAAAGGCATGCCAGCCAGCTGCTCCAATATGCACAGGGCAGCATCCAACTGTGGCTTCCTGTCCCAGGGGAAAGGGCAAGTTTCCTCCTGTCTCCGGGATTTGCTCCCACCTGAGGCTGGATGCTGATAGTTTCAGCATTTCTGGTGTTATTGCATCGGTCCTGCCTGCTTCCAGGGTTTGGTTTGGGGCAGCGTGGCAGGTGGGATGGGAGCTGTTGTCACCATCACCGCAGTGAGCGGCTGAGCCAGGCTGGCTGAAACAGGGGTAACCCCCTTAGCATACACGTAGGCGACCTGCAAAGCCACCAAAGCTTGAGGGGGGCAGGAAGAGAGTACATGCATCATGTACATACTTGTAGCATCCTTCCCACAGCAAAGGTGGGCTCAAAGGGACCAATGCAAGCAGTGCATGAAAAAAAAAAAATTTTTTTTTACTTTTTTACCACTCTCCTATTTGCATTTGCACTAGGCTTAGCTCAGGGGTGTTGAGGCTGAAACCACAAACTCAAGTGTTGAGGCTACAGCACAGCGGCATCTCGCAGCTTAGCCAGCACTGCCCCATGGTGCTGGCCATGGCCATGACGGGCCCGGGCTCAGTGTATCGCCCTTCCCTTCCTACAGCCCTGACGGCTTTCCCATGTCGGTCACGGTGAGCACCCTACGACCCATTACAGTCCCTCTTATCAATAACTAGGCTGGATGTGTCCCACGCTAAGATCTGTGCTAATCATCGAGCAATTTCGCCTTCAGAACAGATATTTATAAACTGTGCTTTCTGTTTATCCAGCCAGGTGGAACATTTGATAGCTGTCTTTCACCACAAACACATTTTTAGCTGGAAATTACTCCCTCTTGTTATCTGCGGGCGCTGCCAGTCCTGACAAATGTCCCTGGGCAGGAGCTGATTGGCTCCACGCACCCGGGGCCAACTTTAAATTTCAGCAAAGTGGGCACAGCCTCCACGGTCTGCCGCTGGGACCTGCCTCTGACGGGGAAAGGTAATCTCCTTGCCTTGTTTGCCTGCCTCCCTGAGCCGGGCATTTCCTGCTTTCACTCTAGGCAAGCTGTGGTGGGGACAGGGAGACGGCACAAGCCTTGGCTGTGTGCATCTCTGCATCGCGCTCTCTTGAGCCTATGTCGCTTTGTGCTGTTGATCCTTGTGCATGAATTTCCTTCCAGTGATTTCCGTAGCAGGGCTTGCATGGCTGAAATAGTCTCCAGTCTGGACATGCGAGCCTAAGCCAGGGTGGATGGGTGAAATGAGAATTATTAGCAAACAGAGCTATTGTTTCCTGCTGTTTATCAGTGCTGCTGAATACAGCCCGTTTCTTAATTCAGCCTTATGACTGCATGGCTTAGCCTGCAGCGGGTTTGGTGGTCATTTATTGCAAATATCCACCCAAGTTACTGTGACAGAGTGAGTTAAGAAGCTTTAACACATACTTGGTGCTGCTGGCCGTAAACGTGTCCTCGCCTTGCTGGCGTACGCACATGGCGAAAGCATCACCTTGGCTGCGAGGGGTGCAGGGAGGCAGAGCGATGCTGAGGGCCACCGCAAACGCTGGGGAAAAACGGGGTCACTGGATAACCCCACTGCCACGAGGGCTTTGGGACAGCAGGAGCTTTTGCACTGCTGCTGAGCAGGATTGTTGGGGACCACAAGTCCCAGGAAGAGAAACTCCAGTGACACTTTGCTTTGTGCCTCCAGGATCTACCCAAGATGCAAACAGCCCTCGTGTGCCTCTGCCTGCTCAGCATGGCCGTCTCGACACCCGTGAGTATGGCTCTCCCCCGTTTCCCAGCATGCTGCCGCAAGTGGGAGGGGGGTACCACGCAGTGTGCACCAGTACACTTCCAGCAGCAGGAAAGCATGAATTGTACTTGGACATAGCACCTCTGGGGCTCAGGGAGCAGGGCTTGAAGTGCTGGTGCAAGAGATGAACCCAGGAATAATATATATTAGCACTGAGGTGTCTGAGCATGTCCCTGAGCAGTTAGGGTATTGTGCAAGGGCCAGTCTGGGACATTGTAACTCTCCTTGATTTCTGTGGATTTGGGATCTGCCCAGAGCTTTTAGCCTGGGAACAGCCCAAGCAGAGCCACAGAATGGGAAGTGGAGTGCAGATGCTCACCTTACCTACGTGGGTAACAGGTGTCAGAGGAGCACCTGCAGTCCAGCTCTCCTAAAGTGAAATTTGAGCAGATATAACTGAAACAAATGGCAAACTAAGATAAATATCAGCTATTTTTGTCCTGCATAACTGTTGCTCAACATACTACATACATAGCTAGAGTGAAAAATCTGTTCCTAGCAAAAGCTTGCTTTTCCGACAGGGTAAGGTGGGAGGAACCATGTCTTCCCTGAGGGCTGGGCCCTGGTCATGTGTCCTTTAGTCCCCAGGGCAGGCTTGCACAACCAGGTCTGTCACAGGGCAGCACAGGGAAAGGCAATAAATCAGTGCAGATTTGCTTTTCAGATAGGGACACAGAAGAGAGCTGGTTAATGCTGCGTAACTGGGGCTGTAATCCAGCCTTTGACATTGTTCACAAACAATGGAATAAACTGGGAATATTTAATACTCTGGGGTGCATTTCTGCCCTTTTCAGCTGGGCTTGGGGCACTTCAGTGGCTGATTTTGCTGAGAACTGAGGGCAGGGGCCATCTCCCCCTCTGGCACATAGGGAATGCTCCAAAATGGCTTGATGGGGCTCACAGGATGCTCCCACCTCCAGTTCCCCAGTCCCTCAGCAATGCACTGGCCAATACATCCCAAAAGATGCCAGGACCATCAGGGGAAGCCGGAAGCTTGCAAACATGTACAGAAATCTGGCTGTGAGGGTACAGGCTCAGTTGCCCAGTAAACACTGGGAATCACCACCAGTTAACCAGGTGCAGGCTCCCATCACAGCCAGATCCCAGCCATAAGGTGGAGCATTGTGGTGTGAGCAGCAGTGCCATGTATTAAAACTGTTCTGCAACAAAAATACTCTGCAGCTGAATCCAGTAAAAGGGTATTTGCAGGCCAGCAACATCCTACTAAAAGCAAGCATGCTGTAGCAGAATTTGCAATACTTTTCAGGCCCTGGAAATGGGGTTTTGACCTTTCCTACTATTGCTGGCTTTAAGCCCTGGGTAATGCTCAGGAGTTTATTGGCTTATTAATATAGTTTTCCCACCCTTCCCTGGATGCCATGGTGCGCCGATCACATTGGGCAGGACGGGTGGCTGGCAGCAAGTGCTGACAGCCACCTGGACGTTCTTGTGCTTTGCTGCCCGCAGGTGCCATTGCCGATGCCTGGGAGAGCTGCTGGCAACTGTGTGGGACAGCACCGGGTAAGTCCTCCCTGCCCCATCCAGACCCCATGGGGTGCCCTGCACCAGGGGTGCAGGGAGAAAAAGCTAATTTTTGGAGGAGAGCCTCAGCAAGCCACAGAAAAAGAGACTGGTGGTCCCTTCAGATCCGAGCATCCCTTACAAAAAGCAGGGGAAGGGAAAGGTGTGATGTGCTCAGGCGAGGGGAAGGTCTCCCTCCCACACTGACTGCTCCTCTGCCCCTGCCCAGTCCCAGAGCACAAATGCTTGGTCTACTCGCAGGTGAGGCTGTACAATTTGCAGGCCTAGCTGCTACGGCATTCTTTCAAAGTGTGTTGGTGTAAGATGCATGAATAGCAAAATTCAGATGGGTAGTGTGGAAGAAGAAAATGCCTGGGTTTGCCTATTGGAAGCAAGCTGCTGTCCTTCGGTGCTTCAGTCACCATCAGTCCCAAAACTCATGTCTGATGGGCCTGTCAACCAGGTTGTTTATTCAAGCCATAAGCTATCTTGAAAAAAAAAAAAAAACCACCTAAAAAACCAAACCCCCACAGCTCCTGAAAGCAAGCAAAGGCAAAAAGTGAACCCAAGGGAAAGCCGACCCTCCCAGGTCCCTGCCCACCCTGGCAGCCGTGAGATGGTGGGAGCTACCACCCGTCCTGGGTCCCCAACACGTGCTAGTGGGACCCTGCTGTGGTGCCAGGAATGGTAAGGGAAACTCCTGCTATCACATTTAATGAGAAAACTGTGGAGTTTGGTTATTTTCTTCTCCACCAGATACTGCTGAAAGGCTGCAATGCCAAGCATGGTTTCTATGTTTTCAAATATGTCTACTCGTTTTCAACGCGGAGGAACCAGACACAGATAAAGGTGAGGAGATGGCCAGGCGGTACGGTAAGACCCTGACTTGGCTGCGGCACCCCATGCAGCTGGCAAGTGTCGGGGCTGGCCCTGACCCTCTCTCCCTGCACAGAAAGAAGAGGCTGACAGCCAGAGCACCGTTCTCCGTGGCCGGCTGGGGGAGGACAATGCCAGTCGGGGGCCAGCGGAGGATGTGGCAGCCCCGGAGCACGATGGCAATGGCAGCACTGATGTGATAGAGAATGTGACTGGACTCAAGTCTGAAAACCGCAGCACCCCAGGCGCGGGTGGGGATGCTCGCAGTCCTCACCCGGGCACTGGCATGCGAGCTCGTGGTGGTGTCAGTGTCACAGGTCCCACCCCGGCCAGCTCGGAAGGCAGCGGCGACCTGCATTTGGTGGTGGAAGTCGACGGTGGTGTTTCCATCCTCCCACAGGGTGGACGCCCCAGTGAGGCCGTGGCAGGGAACAGGTCTGGTGTCAGGAATGACGACAGGGACGATGGTGACGCTGGGGAAGTTCCAGTGGAGGGGGCCATGACAGCTGGAAGGGAGAGGGCCCCTGCCACCACAGGGACTGAGGATGAGGGCAGTGGTGAGGCCGCCATCCCTGGCCAAGGGCAGGAGGACGTTGTGAGGGGCACAGGAACAGAAAGCACTGCTCTTGCCTCTGTCACTGAGAAGATGGAGGACGTCCAGGTTGATGCCAAAGGTGTGGATGAATACGCTTACATCCCTGATTCAGGCAGCATCACCATCACCCGTGGGAAGGCGGGCGGTGCAGTGACAGACACCAGCATCACCCAGATCTCTCCAGACAAGGACGACGAGGTCAACATCTTCATCGGGAGGGCCAACATCCATGTGGGTGAGCAAGAAACCACCCAGGCCGGTGCCACTCTTGGCAGCGAGGATGACGGTATCCCTGCTGCAGGAACCAGCAGCCCCCTGCCCAGCCTGGACATCACTGTGGCACACAACAGCAATGATGATGATGATGGCATCCCTGCTCATAGGCAGCCTGAAGGACTGGCCACAACAGCCACCCCAAGCAATCACGACAGCATCACCAGCAGCCCCAGGGATAGCCAAAAAGGATGAGGCCACCACCACTGGTGATGCAGGACTGTTGGGTCCTGGTCCACGGAGGGGAGGGTTGCGTGACACTACCATCCCCGCAGGGGCTGGCACCCATGGCAACAGTGATGATGAGGTGAGAGGTGTGGGGCAGAGGTTCGAGGGGAGGCCAGGTCATCCGGCTTTCACCACGCCCCACCAGGAAAGTGATGATGAGATGACTGCTGCTGTCCCAGCCAAGGGGGCCAGCATCCGCCTGGCCACCACTGTGGCCTCTCCCAGCATGAGTGAGGGGGACTGCACCACCACCCTAGGGACAGCTGGCAGCCTCAAGGCAGGTGAGAGTGCCATGGTGGGGAGAGGGGAGAGCAGGAAAGCAGGGCCAGCCACCCCGCAGCCCCATGGGGAGGGACGGTCTGGGGCAAGGCTCCAGCCAGGGGGAGCAGGACTGGACAAGACACCCAGGACAGAGAAAGCACTGTCCCCACGTGGGAAACCCAGCAGCCAGGTGTCAAGTGGGGCCCAGGCGAGGGCTGGCAGCCATGGCAGCAACGCCAGGGGCAGGCCAC